CGCATCTTCTCTCTCTCTCTCCCTCTCTCTCTCTCTCTCTATATATATATATATCACAAATGTTTTTATATATTCAAACATTTATGTAATATATATATATATATCTCAAGATATAATGAAAATAAAGTTATTGTCTTCTAAAATCTCAAATAAAAGGGCAGAGAGACTTTAATCCCAGCACTTGGGAAATAAAGACAGGCAGACCTCTGTAAACTCAAGGTCAGCTTGGCCTTCATAGTGAGATCCTGGAGAGACTGAGTTTTGGTGGAAACAAAATACAAACAGAAATAAAGTTAGCAAAGGATCAAAGCAAGACACATCTCAAAATCATGACGGTATCAGTAAATCTGAGATTGAGTCTCTGCCTTGATGAATACTAAAGGCAAAAATCCTAAAGTGAGAGTGATAGACATTAAACCAGCAGTTCACAAATCCAAAGGCAAAACAATGGTTGTATTGGGGGCTTATTTTAAATTCTAAAATTCTCTATTTTTGTTTTATATGTATGAGTATTTTGCCTGCAGGTAAGTACAGGTATCACCTACATGCATGTCAGGTGCCCTCAGAGGTCAGGAGAAGGCACCAGATTCCCTAGAACTGGAGTTACTGATGGTTGTGAACCTCCATATGGGTATTTGGGAACCAAACCTGGTCCTCTGCAAAAGCAGTCAGTACTCTTAAACACTGAGCTATCTCTCCAGCATGGGAAACTTGTTTTAAAAATACAGATACTGGGCTAGATACTGAGATGTTGTTCTTCAGGACGTAATATTTGTGGTGTAGATCAGCCTGGAGCAAACTTAAAATGGGTGATGTTGAGAAAGCAAGAAGATTTTGTTCAGAAGTGTGCCCAGTGCCACACTGTGGAAAAGGCAGGTAAGCATAAGACTGGGCCCGATCTCCATGGTCTTTTTGGGCAGAAGACAGGTCAGGCCGCTGGATTCTCCTACACAGATGGCAACAAGAATAAAGGTATTACTTGGGGAGAGAATACCCTGGAGTATTTGTAGAATCCCAAAAGTGCATCCCTGAAACTAAAATGATCTTCAATGGAATTAAGAAGGGAGAAAGGGCAGACCTAATAGCTTATCTTAAGAAGGCTACCAATGAGTAATTCCACTGCCTTATTTATTACAAAACAAATGTCTCATGGCTTTTAATGTATACCATAATTTAATTCATACATCAAAATTCAGATCATGAATGGCTAACAATGTTTTTGTTGGACAGTCCCGATTTGAGTAAAACTGGCTTGTTGCAAAGTGGATATTATCTTTCTTAAAATAACAACAAAAAACCACAGATACTCTATCATTGTTCTACCTTTTAAATACTTATTCTGTGGAGACAAGGCTCCTAGTAGACCAGGGTGGCCTCAACCTCAGTCCTGTTTCAGCCTCTAAGTAGCTGGGATTACTAAAACCCATTCCTCTAACTGTAAGACTAAAGTGAATCTGTGTTTAAGAGGGACCCCTGTTACACAGCAACTGCCAAGTCCAGTGTCCAAGGCCCACTGTTGAAAGTCACTGATCCAGAGGTCTGAAGAACTCTTAGTATCAGCATACCAGCTAACAGCAATTAGCAATTCATTTACAGAAGAGATTTCATATGGAATCCTGTAAGAGATCATCTCCTGGGAGAGACTTAGTGGGAGTTAAAATAAATCAATAACCCAGAGGACTTTCCCCTGGGAATGTCTGTTGACACAACAAGTTTATCTTTGAATATTATCATAGTGAATCCAAGAAGTAATTTCAAAGATGGGGGAATACAGGGTAGAGAAACTCTAAGCTCCTTCTCCACACAAGCATGTTTCAAGGGCAGATAGAGAAGCACCCATGCTAATCAATGCACGCATGCACGCGCACACGCACACGCACACACACAGAGACAGACAGACAGACACAAAGGCAGAGATTCTTCAGTCCCACTCACAAAATTCCAGTACTTTAAAAAATGGCATAGTATAACTAAAAGAGGGAATGCCAGGTTGCAAAGCATGTATGAAGTTCAATGCCTAGCAACACACATGAACATGCATGCATGCCCGCACATAATGTGTGGCCTTCCCAGGGACATCTCCTGCATGCTTTGGTTCTTTGAATTTAGGATCAAGACAGACTGAGCAAAACCTTGTTGAGACACCTTAATTCTCTTGGTAAAAGGAATACTTCCCAAATGAGATTTTTCCAGTCACTTCGGTTTTCTCACCTAATGACAGATGGCACTTACTGAGAATCAAAAACCCTCATTGTGGGTAGGGGAGCATGCTCAGAAACAGCTGCTTGTACGAGGCACACAGCTGGCTAGTTGCCATGAGCCTCTCAGCAAGACAGCAGTGGACCAACTACATCATAATGTCTTCCCAGCAGAATCCTCCAACCAAATCCCTGAAGCTTTGGCCTCACATGACAAAGGACACCTTAGCTTTTACTTGTAGCTATCAGATTTTGGCCAGGCGTTTCTGGTTCCTTATGAGAAGGATGGAGAGCTGGCAAGCTTTATCTAGGAACCAGACAAGAAGCCCGGCTTTCGAAAAGTAGCTGGAGATGTCTATCAGCATTTACTGCAATAAAATCCATATATATATATTACAATTAGTTACAAGAGCTGTTAGGACCAGGATGTAGGTGGTGAGAGGTAGACACCAGGTGCTTTTACCGTCTGCTTAAGATCAGCCAGAGAAGAACAGTACACCAAAACTCTCCTTCCACCCTCAGATATCTAGTTAAGAAAACAAGCTTCCTGAACTATCGTGGTCTTCTCATTCTCACCCAACAGAACTCAAGTATGAGAACTCTCCTGTCCTGATAGCAAAAGCAGAGTGCTTTGCTGCTGCACCTTTCAGAGGTTTTCAAGGATGTCACTGGTTCTGATAATTACCTCCTAAAAATGATAAGAGATGTTCTCTTGAGAGTCTCTGTAATTCACTTAGTTTCTACTGTGTATCAGGTTTTCTATTAGGTACTTGGACTTTATAATGAGAAAACGGACATGGTCTCTCATCTCTGAAGGACCCAAAGTCCAGAATACAAAAACAACTGCAGGTTTGTGAGACAAGTATTAGCCCAATGGCATGTACTCAGTAAAGTAGCCAGTCTATAAAGGAAGCTGCCAAAAAAGAGGGCAAACTTGAGGACAGCTGGAGATGTGGAGGAAAACATCCCAGGTGTTAAGATGTCCTGGCAAGAAAGAGACTTAGCAGGTTCAGGGAGTTTGAAAACAGTTCAGTACAGTCAGCTGAAAGACATTATAATTAAGATATCAGAGGAACAGGAGGCCAGCAAAGTAAAGACTATCCCAGGCACACCTTTCCACCACTTGGCATGTTGTGGTCTCATCTCTAATTTTTTTCTTGACAACAAATGCTTCCTACTCCAAGCATTCAACAAGCCCCTACAAGCACAGCACTACATGAAGGGTCCGGGAGACTATGTTTTGTTTGTTTGTTTTTCTTTCTTTGAATTAATCTATTTTTTATTAATTATAATTTATTCACTTTGTATCCCAGTTGTAGCCCCTCCCTCTTCTCCTCCATGCCAGTCCCCAGTCCACTGATAGGGGAGGCCCTCCTCCCTTTCTATTTGATCCTAGTCTATCAGGTCTCATCAGGAGTGGCTGCATTGTCTTCCTCTATGGCTTGGTGAGGCTGCTCCCCCCTTAAGGGTAGGTGATCAAATAGCCAGACGCTGAGTTCATGTCAGAGACAAACCCCTGTTCCCCTTACTAGGAACCCACTTGGACACTAAGCTGCCATGGGCTACATCTGTGCAGGGGTTCTAGGTTATCTCCATGCATGGTCCTTGGTTTTTTTGTTTTGTTTTATTTTGGTTTGGTTTGGTTTTTCAAGGCAGGGTTTCTCTGTGTAGCTGTGGCTGTCCTAGACTCACTGTGTAGACCAGGTTGGCTTCAAACTCACAGAGATCCACCTGCTTCTGCCTTCCTAAGTGCTGGGATTACAGGCCACGGTACCCAGCTAGGACTATAGTCTTATGGAATTTATACTGAACCCAGCTGGGATAGATTAACCATATACAGTATACAGCTAAAGAGAACAAAACAAACAAACAAATAAACAACCACAAAATGTACCAAACTATAAATGACACAAACTACACAAAGTACTAAGGAATTAATTCACCAGTTCTTAGATAGTAACAGAGCTTAAACACTATCTAATTAGAGAAGTGTTCAAATGTTTGATTCCCCATGACAAAACCCTAGCCAAATAAGCCCCTATAGGATGAGGAAGCTCAGTCAGTCACACTAGTCTGGCTGAGTCCAGTAGGCAATTAACTACACTCCACCCAAAAGGCTTTCACAGCCATATAACAGAGGCATGCTTTAGACAAGAGTGGGTCCTAAATGGAATTTAGGTTCTGTTACTAAAATGGATACGACAATTCAGAGCAAAGAAGCTGCCTAAAGTCCTCTTGTTCCATCATGACTATGATTTAATAGCATACAATCACATTTTTAGCTTGCTTCCTCAATACTAAACCAAAACAAGAACTTTATTTAAAGACATAAAATATTTACTGAAAGCCAGGCATGATGGTGCATGCCTTTAATCCCGGCACTTGGGAAGCAGAGGTAGGTGGATCTCTGAGTTCCAGGACAACCAGGAATGGTATACAAGAAACCCTGTCTCAAAAAACATAGATAGATAGATAGATAGATAGATAGATAGATAGATAGATAGATAGATAGATAAGATAGATAGATAGAATTTTACTGAGTCCTTTGCATAGCTCTGCATTAGAGGCTCACATTGAAGTTAGGAACTATTAAGCCTCTGGGTAACACAGTTTATCATCTTGGGTATGAGAAAGTTCCTGACTTCCAATAGTTCTGATCTTGTAAAAGTGAGGTATCCTGGTCATGGGTCACCTGGACTAGAGCACTTCTGTAGGATCATGACAGTACTGGTCCTGACTAGACGATCATAACATATTCCCTCATTACCCTGTCAAGTTCAGGAGAGACATAATGGCACTCACCCTCATGGAGGTCTCACCACCGTGGGCCTGTTGTAGTCTGAAGACCTGGGCTACCATGTGCTCTGTGGAGGGGTGCAGCAGGATCCTTCGTGAAGCTAAGCCCACCATTACATATCGGCCCATTGGGGACAGGCTTACAGAAATGGCATTAGGACCTGAGGGCGAACAGAAAAAAGTCACATTTCCCAGAATCCTTGCCATTCCATGGAAACAACTTCCATGCAGTCCTTTCTGCTTTTCCCCAGCGTTCCTAGTTTTGACTCTGTTCAGGCACTCTCAGGCTGCAGTGAGCAATAGAAGGAGAAGGCTGAATCCCAGCTGTAGTTCTCAGAACTTTACAAGACTGCAAGGATACTCTAAGCACTGTTCTGATATATTTTTTCATTTAGGCATTACAAATGGTTTTCATTATTAAATAATCTTGCATAAGAGCAGTTTTAAAGCTACTTGTATTTCATGCTATCATTGTACAGCCATTTATTTAAGCTACATGTTACAAAAACCTTGAGGTAAAAATTTGATGTTTTCCTATATTACAAAACAAAACCAGTGTAAAACTCTTGTATGTAAATCTTTGTAGTTTTCTGATTATTTCTTTTGATTCGTCTGTACTGCTAAAACCAGGACTCCTCTACAGCACTCTTTCCCTGGCCTATGCCTCAGTGAAGGCAGAGATAGCTCATGACCATTACTCTCACCCACATACTCCATGCCTCACCTAGGAATGCCTATGCCAAGGCATCAGCATCAACTCTGTCATTAATTAGGTTGGGCTTCCTATCCCTTACCAAATCGCTTAGTGTAGAGCATTTCCCCCAAGTTATGGGGGGCCAGGGAATACACTGCCAGGATGCCTTCATCAGGAAAGCCCCTCTGGCTGCTCGGGATGAAAGCTGCCAGGAGCTGGCCATCTGCAGAAATGTCACAGCTGGCATCATTGTAGATCTTGCAGTTCTGTACCAGAACATTCACGGAGGCTGCATTGGACAAAGAAAAGAAGGGAAGAAAGTTTAAACACCATGCTGTTAGAAATTCTAAGACCAAGATGTTTTGGGGCCTTTCTAAGGGTGTGAATCCTCTTTAGAAATGAGGCAAACTGCCTCATTTAAATTAAAATGTTGGGAAGCAGGAAACAGGAGAGGCAGGAAGGATCTGTGCACTTAGTAGGAACTATAGGACACTCCATTACCACCGCAGCCACCATATGACTCTTAGTTCATACTTTATTAGATAAGGAAAAAGTCACTAACAAATGCCCTGGAGAGCCACTCACTGCTGTTACGGTTTAAAGTATGAAACCAAGATAAATGAAAATGTAAACCCACTGACTCTAAAATAAAGGAGACAGGTAGAGTGCTCCTGGGGTAGCACGCCTCCTCAGAACCTGCTATGTGATCTCAAGGAAGAAAGTCATTGGAGAAACTTGTGTCTATCTCTCCAGAAACACTAATACTGACTCCACACAGAGGAGAAAGAGAAACAAAGCCCAGCCTGGACGAGACAGTAGGAATTCTGTGCATTTCTCAGCACACTCTGTGCCTCTTCTATACCATGAAGCAAGGGCCCCAGGTAGTCCTGATCTACATCTAACAGTTACCATGAATAAAGCACTGGGCTGGCTAGGCTGAGGCTAGAGATGGTTAGAGATCACACTCTGCCTGAAGGGACTAATGAGAGGCTGGCAAGCACAGGACTGGGCCTCTACATCTAGTTTTGGTTTGCATTTGAACCCTCTGTGTTTGCACTATGGGATTCCCTGCCAAGGGAAAGTGATTTATCCTTGATGTGAGGCTGGAACAAAAGGGCCCACCTGCCACCCACACAGGCAGAATAGTAGGACACATGCAAACGGGTCAAGTTCCTGAGCTTTGTTTCGCTTAGCTCCACTCCATATAAACTTGTTCACTTATTTGAAAGAGATGTCCACTGTCACAAGGCATTAAAGTTAAAAAAGATAAAAGCAAAACCAAGCCACGCTTAGCTGCTGTCATCAGATTCTAGGTAATATATTCCAGTAAGCCAAAATACAAGGCTGAAATGGTAAGGGCAAGTTTCCCTAGAAAACCAGCCAAGGAAAACAAAACAAAAAGGTGGTTTTAAAGTCTTATGGGCCTGGAGATTGAGAGTGATTTATAAAATTGTATTTGTTCCCCTTTTGCTATACGTTGTTAACAAAGCTACAGAGGTAACAGAGTAGATAAAGAATGACATCACAATACCATTGATTAGGTTGTTGTGCCAATCCCTGGGGGCTGACACCTACAGCACCATTACACATAAAACTGAGGACAGTTCTGTTTGCTAACTAATAAAATAATGATATCCAAATACTACTGCTATCACCATTAGGCCTCTGCTGCTCAACTCCCAACCCACCATCTGTTCCAGCCTGCATGGCTAGATCCATCTTGTTAGCATGGGACCATCTGCTCCTGATACTATGGACTGCTTTCAACAATTACCCTTTTACCTGTACTAAATGTCCCCAACTTGCATGATAGCTCAACTGTCTTGTTGGGACTTGTATATATCAGTATTATTTTGGTTAAAAACAGAAGTCTATAATGAATTGAACCTGCAAACACTGGCCTGTAATCCCAGCTACTCAAAAGGCTGAGACAGATGGATGGCAAATTCAAGGTCTACAGAGTTCATGGCCAGCCTGGACAACTTAGTGAGACCTAACTATAGAAAGTAACAAAGGGGGCTGTATAATAATTTCCTGTATAGAAACAGAAATAGTTATAATGGTCAGCGGTCACTAATTCATGCGCAGATTCCCCTCAAAAAAGCTGAAATTTCAATGAGTTAATAAACACAAGGACAGTTCTTGGACCTCAGCTACTTTTCTTGGTCAGAGAAAAGTACTATTCTAAAGGTAAAGAACAACTCATCCCTTTCTGGATTCAACAACAAGGTAAGTAGATAGGAAGAAAGATGTGAGTGGAATCCAGGCTGTCACTGGCAGCTCACAGCACTGGAGAACGGTGTTGATGCTCCATACCTCACTCTGTCATGCAACTCAGATCAGCAATATCTGAAGAACGCTGGGCAGAGTCTGAGAGTGTGCGTTTCCAGCCCCAGGTGTCTCAAATGCTGCAAGTCTGAGAACTCAGCAGCTGGCTACTCCTTAATGGTGAAACATATGGGAAAGGATGATAGGACAGCTAGCTTAAGAACTAAGGATATAACACAATGAGAGAATGCTTGCATGTATTAGGCTCTGAATTCAATACTGGTATGGAAAGAAAATAAGCCAAACTAAAACTGCTTAAGAGGTTCAGGGGAAGCTGAGCACAGCAGTATACATCTGTAATGGCTGCACTGAGGTCAGGGGGTACATAGAAGGATTGCAGCAAGTTTGAGGCTATCCTAATCTACACAGCATGTTCCATGCCAGCCAGGGTTACAAAGGGGCTCACAAAAAAGTAACCAACCAACCAACCAACCAACCAACCAGCCAAACAAACAGCTAATCAAAAAGCAAACACAAGCAAACACCCAAGAAGTTCAAGGGCACCTTCAAGTAGGAAAAAACAAACAAACAAACAAAAACCATGCAGGAGACAGCAGGAAGACTCTGTTTTAGACTCTGCCATATAATATTGTTGCAATTAGAAATTATTTCCAAGTGAAAATGCCTTAGAAGAGAACAGGAAGGGCTAGAAATACTGGTGCCTAGAGAAGCAGATGGCTCTGCTTTCCTGTCAGATCCGTAAATTATAAACAAACACCTTGTACAAAGATCCATGGGTAGCCTGTTGCTGTCCAGATGAGGCCATGGGAGTGATTCGGAGCTGCAGTACTTTACAAATACCTCACACCCCGATTTGGAAAACTGAGGAGTGCTGAAATCAGAAGCAAAATTCCCTTGTCTTTTCTCTGAGTCGCTCTGATTATTGCAGAAGATCAGAGCTCCAGATGATAAAAACATGTCTTACAGGTATCAGTCAGCCACGTCCCCTCTAGTATCTGCCCTATACTACTCATCCACCTGCTCTTAGGCCTCTCCTGCCAGGATGCCTTGGTGATCAAAGCCATTCACCAACAAGAGTTTCCTATCAAAGGTCAGAGGGAGCCAGGTGTAGTAGTGTACGCCTTTAATCCTAGTACTTGAGAGGCTGAGGTTAGATCTGAACTCAGAGTTCAGCCTGGTCTACAGAATGAGTTCCAGGACAGTCAGAACAAGGACAAGGACAGTCAGAACATAGAGACTTTGTCTCAAAAAAGAAGTAGAAGAAAAAAAAAAAAAGCACAAAAAAAAAAACAAAACCCAGAATGTAGTTAGCCTTTTCCTCCCTCTTCTTCCTTGTTGTTCATAAAAACCATAAAAATTCTAGCGCTGATGGCTAAGTGGCAAAGAACACTTGCTGTTCTTCTAGAGGGCACGGATTCAGTTCTCAGCACCCCAAATATCAAGACAGCTCACAACCTCTTGGAACTCTAGCTCCAGGAGATCAAACATCTTTTGGCCTCTGCAGGCATCTGAACACATAGAACATACACATATATAGACACTCACACACAAATAAGTATCTACATGAGGTGAAGCTTTATTCACAAAGTTCTAAGCATCTAAAACAGGTAAGAATTCATTAACTCTCTTAATCTCAAGTGAGAAAAACAAGTAGCAAGAATCATTAACCTAGCTGGGCAGTGGTGCCACACACCTTTGATCCCAGTACTCAGGAGGTAGTGGCAGGTGGATTTTTGAGTTTGAGGACCACCTGGTCTACAGAGTGAGTTCCAGGACAACCAGGGCTACACAAAGAAACCCTGTCTCAAACAAAACAAAACAAAACAAAAACCCCCAAACAAACAAAAACATAAATAAAAATAAAGGTCAGTGGTGTCCAGGCAGGGGCATAGCTTCTAAAACCTGAAGCTACCCTCTAATAGGAGGCAAATGATTTTGAAAAAATTAATCTACAGCATCACAGAGTTCCAATTTACTGAGTAAATCCATCAAGAGTAAAGGTCACGATTACAACTATACATGAATATAGTTAAAAGAGTTACAAATAATAAATAGGAACATGCTGAGTGTTATGGCTTACTCCTTTAATCCCAGGACTTGGGATGAAGAGGTAGGCAGACCTCTCTGAGTTCAAGGCCAGCATGATGTACACAGAGAGTTCCAGGACATCCAGGGTACATAATAATGACCCCCCCCCCCCCCCCCCCCCCCCAAAAAGGTTGACTTTAATGTCCATATTGAAAGCATAGCAGCTGGTCATCTGGACCTAAGTTTCCTAGTGAATCAAAGATTTAAATGTGTAAAAGTAAAATATAAAAGTAGAAAACGATCTTAATGATGACACAAAGCCTAGGAACCATAAAAGGAAAGGTGTATAATTCTGACTTAAAATAAGTTCTATGACAAAAATAACCTTCAACAAAGTCAAAAGACAAATGACAAGAAACTCCTATTACAGGTTAATTTTCCAATTTATAAGGAACTTCTGCAGAATTACTAAGGGAAAAAACAGTAAGATGCAGAGAAAGAGGTAAAGCACATGGCCTTAAAGACAAGGGGGCACCATTAAGGATATAGAAAAACATAGGCGTTCATGCAGTAGTCTTTACCCTCTCAAAGTCACCAATGCTGAACATTTGGTAACACATTCCTTTAGCAAGTGTTTGTAAGATCAAGCACTCTAAAAGCTGATGCAGCAAGCATGGTGGCTCACACCTGTAATCCCAGCATTCAAAGAGGCAAAGGCAAGAAGACCGCTCTGAATTCAAAGCCAGTCTTGGTACAGTAAGAACTTGTTTGAAAAAACAAAAAGGAACAAACAAACCCTATATATGAGATTATAGTTGGCACAATTATATAGAGGGTGATAAGGCAAAGTTACATATGCGCTGCACTTTTCTTCCCTGCAGCTGTACTTCAAGGTAGCCATTTTATTGATATGCCTGTGCAAAAGACAATCTAGCCGTTTGTATAGCAAGACTGTGGACTCCAAAATCCTTCAACAGGACACTGGCTACAATGATTTACTAGGTAGCTATTTTTTCAGCGGAGAAAGGGTGCAGGGCAGGGAAGGGGGAGGAGTGGCAGCTGTGGGGGCTGCCTGCACCAGCAGCAAGAGCAGCTGCAGCTGCCAAAGGGAGTGATAGCTCATGCCTATAATCTCAGCACTCCAGGGAGCAGAGGCAAGGAGACTGCTGCAAGCTCCCAGCCAACCTGAGATACAGAGGAAGGCCCTATCTCTAAACAAGCCACGAGGAAGTAGAGACAGGTCAGTGGACAAGGACGCTTGCCCTGAAAGCATGAGAACCTGAGTTTAAATCCCCAGCACCCAAGCAGTAAGTTGGTAACAAAAAGGAGAAAAGGGAGAAAAGCATACTGTAACCACAGCACAGAGGACAGGCAGATCCTGAGAGCCTTCTGACTAGGCAGAAATAGTGACCTGTCTCACGGGAGTAAGAGGAAAAGCACTAGAGGAAGACTAGTGACATCTTGCTCAGGCTCTGCATGTGCACACACGGGTGTATATGACACACACACACTCTGCAACAGTATGGAAGATACTGAGATACACTGTATGGAAAGAGAAGGGGAGAGTGTTATATATAGCATGTTGTCACTTAGGTCCCATAAAAGGTGGAAAGCAGTATTTTTTAATTTGCTTACAACTACACACAGTATCTTTCAAGACATGTAAGAACTGAAACTGATGCTGGTTACCTATTGTAAGGAGTCACAGCCAGCAAGGTGTGGTGTTACAAAACTTCTTATTGTATACTCTTTACGTAAGCTTTGAGTAGTGACTATCTTATCTAATTTAAAAAACAGAAAAAATAAGCAAAGTAAAAAAATCAAAATAGCTGTAAATAAACTATGGTCAATAAGTTATAGGTCAGAAATCTACAGATGAACCTGAGTTTTCAATAAGGGAAGGGCAGACTGCCAAGGATTCTCAGAACTGAAGAACAGATCAGTGTACCAGCCAACAAGACGGCTTAGTGGGTAAAAGCACGATAACCTGAGTACAACGTTCAGAATTCACGGCAGGGAGAAGAGAATTGATCCCTGAAAGCTGTCCTCTGACTTCTGGGTTGTGCTGTGGCATGTACATACCTGTTATGTGTGTATGTGCGCATACATACACACAGAGTAATAAATAAAACAAAAATAAAAAAAGAACAGATTTTTAGATCTGTGACTTATCGGCACTTAGAATAAAATGTATGGTTGCTACTTAAGATTCACTAAGAACAAAACATGAAAAGTTAACCTCATTTATCTTGTCTGGAAGGCATACTAAGACTGGCATATTATGAAATGATATCTTTAAATAATTAATTTTTTTTCTGTATCTACAAGCTCTTACAACACTTTACATGACATAGAAAACATAAGGGCTTCCAAAGGCATAGTGTGCATGCCTGTAGCCCGAACATTTGAGGCGAGGGCAGGGGAACGACCAGCGCAAGGATAGCCTATACTACACAGAGCTACTCTCTTTAATACTTATTTAAAAGATTTGTTTTTACTTTTTATTTTTTTATATGTGTGTATTTCCTTTCTTTTGGCGTGTGTGTGTGTGTGTGTGTGTGTGTGTCTGTTTCTCAAGACAGGGTTTCTGTAGCCATGGCTGTCCTGGAACTTGTTCTGTAGATCAGGCTGGCCTTGAACTCAGAGATTTGCCTGCTTCTGCTGAGATTGAGGCGTGTTCACTACACCATTATGTACATTTTGTAGGAATGTAGGTGTGAATGCCCTCAGAGGCCAGAAGAGGGCATCAGATCCCACGGAGCGGGAGTTGTGAATTTTCCATGGTACAAGAAACTGAACTCAAGTCCTCTGGAAAATTACCAAGTGCTTTTAACTGCTGAGCCGTCTCCCCAGACCCTGTCATTAACAGGGAAGAACTTTAGATGTGAAGCCCAAAGTACTAATAATTAATGTCCCAAAACTGATACAAACAAAGTCCAAAAACATACCAGAAGGCTTAATGCAATTTCCTGATTGAGTCACTATTTTTGCTAGAAATCTGAAGGAAGACTGAAAAAGAATGTTTTTCAGATTAGCAGATGATCCCTAAGACTGGAAAAGAAGGACAAGTCAAAGTTGATGAAGATAACCCAGGCACAGTAGGGTAGTCTGTGATCCCAGCACTTTGGGAGGCAGAGGCAGGTGGATCTCTGTAAGTTTAAGGCCAGCCTGGTCTACAATGTGAGTCCAAGACAGACAAAGCTGTTCAAAGAAACCCTGTCCCAACCTCCCCCCCCCCAAAAAAAAAAAGTTCATAAAGGCAGGAACCAGAATTACAATGATAGGAAGATAATACAAGCTAGCCTTAATTTTCAAAAGAGCTAAGCCACACACATGTAAATACAAAATGGCTGAATTCTGGCTTACCAACAATTATCAAGGAATTTTAAGTTACCTGTAAATGCAATAGTAACTTCAGAAAAAACTGCTGGAATCTGTACCAAACATCACTGTATTCTATATTAGCTCAGATCATGAATTTTCTAATCTGTTGTACATCATCCCACTCCCAAAGTTAAAGGGGAAGAAGAACAGATTGGAAATCACATTAGAAAAAGAATTTATGGACATCTGATCTGAAAGGCAAGATGCAGTGGTACTTGCAGATTACCAGAGGACTTAGTTTAAAAGGCAGTGACAGATTATATGGAGATGGAGATGCAGCAGCAGCAGCAAAGGACCAACAGGATGAAGTGACATTAAAAGAAGAAATGGTGGCGGCTTGGTATGAGAAAGAACCTTCTGGGAGAATTTATCTGTGATGTTGAGCCTATCACCAGAGGCAAACATGCAGGGGCTGATGACCACTTCTCAGGAATGAGTGACTGTCCTTCCTTAGGCAAAGTAAATGTTTACAATGCTCAACAATGGGTTTATGAATTTCTTTAAAAGAAAATCTATCTACCAGCCACACATTTTGTAAAACAGGTATTAACATAGCACTCATCTGGTTAGTTGAGACCGGAATTTACCATCAAGATTTACTACAATCTTTTCGCAAGGATAAGAGATGTAGCTCATAAATTCGATATTACATTCCTCCCCTTCCCCGTTCTTTTACTCTCTATGAACTTCTCCACAAATTCCTCGGGAGAGATTCTGGACATTTCCCTTGGACTATTTTCTGAACTGCTTAACTGGCAGCTGAGGATAAGCTGTAGAAAGAGTTTGTGGCTATCAACAACTCAATGAGAGATGGACAATCCATGTTTTGGTGTTTTTGATTTTTTTTTAAAGTTCTCTCTCACTAGAAATATGTACCCATCACCACTCCAGCTTTACACTGACTCACCATTACTGATTTCTGGAAGGTCAAACTTGGTGAAGTCCCACCACTGGAGTCGGTAGGTAGTATTGGCAATGTTACTGGCCACTGCAGACTGTCCATCTCCAATCACCGCCCCTGGTGACAGAGAAGACAAGAAGAGCACATTAGATCACATGCATCCTTTCTCTGTCTATTTCCACTGCAGAATGAACGGAACACAGAAATTAGTGGAGGAAGGGGAGAACCACAACTAAAGTTCAAGGAAGCTGGAGAGATCTGCAGAGCAATGAAAAACTAGACACAGCCTTTCACAGGAGACACTCTATGTGGACATGGAACCCCATTCATAAGTCCTTCCCATTATTACTCATTTGTATTGGGTCCTGAATATACATTGTTCATCATCTGCAGAGACAGATGACTCTTCATACAAACGTGGGCAAAGAAATCTGAAAACAAAGAGAAGACTCCATGAACACATAAAGACGAGATGGATTTCAGTTCTGGGTGTCTCTGTAGCAAGCAGTGCTCTTTAGGAGTCAAGGTTCCTGTTTTGTTAATGACCTTTTTCCTAATAAGATATCTCAAATAGAGGTTTCCTCCAAAGAAGAGGCAGTCAGCACACCGTGAATGGAGAGAGGCAGTAAAGAAAAAATGAGGTAATATTTGTTAATCTCTTTTGAAACACTAGTATATAACACAGCAAAAATTTATGAGCCTACCTTTGTATCATGATAATATTTTTATTAAGGCAATTTTTTTTTATAATTCTCCCCTCCAAGAACTTCCTTGAATTCCAGATTCACTTGTAATATTTCAGTTTAATTTTCCCTGAGATATACACTTCAGTATGACATTTTTTCCTTGGTAACTAATTAAATAAAAAATTGATTTTTTTAAAACAGGATGACACTTTAATTTGCAGTTGTATTTCATTTACATGAACATGTCATTTTCTCCTCCTCCTTTAGAGGTACATTTCATACACAACCACCCTTTTGATCAGACAGAACCAAACCTTCTTAGGAGAATAGAAGATCCCTGTGCGTAAGACTGGTGAGGTGGTATTCTCAGCTGTAGATCTTCTCAGTAATGACCAGCCTTGGGACAATGCAGTTTTATGCCAGGATTCACCAGCATCACCTAGCCTTTGCCCTCTAAATATCACTGCAAAAACATCTCTATTTGTTTTAGGGAGCTATATCTATTATTCTGCCTCTAGATTTCTCTACCTCTTTCCTCAAATGATCAAGAGAGAAACTACCCTCTATACAACCATGAAGTAAAGGAAACATTTTTTTCCCCTTTTAGTCAGGGGCTGCAGGCCACTGTACCAGAAAGATAATAAATAGAAGTTGAAAAATACTATTGTAAATAGCCTTAAAATATTTTTAAAGTCTCAAATCAAACAGTTCCAAACAGTTGTGATCTACCCCAAAACATGATAAACACAGCATTTGCAGGTGTTATCAATGTGGCCACTGACTTCAAGCCCCTATTGATGACTCTACGATACATATACTATTCATATGGGATGAATATTTACCTCTCCTTTACCAAAGAAAATAATCCTTCAATAATTGTATCTGGGAGCTGGTGAAACGGTTCACCAGCTAAGCCACTTGCTGCCAGGGCCAAAAACTTGAGTATCTGAATGTGGGGTTAAGAGGGAAAATACAGAGAGAAACAGGTAAAACTAAGGGGCATTTGAAGGCTCATATGGAAACCTCGTACAGAATAAGCTTCTTAAAATAAATGACATTGAATCACCAAATAATAGGGAGACAAAGACCCTACTAGACATCTCCAGCCACCAAATGAAACCTTTAGTGCTGGGAATGAATTACATCTAATCGAGTTGTTGGCCCAAGTGGCCCAATGGAAATCCTAAACAACCCAGGCTATTTATTGCTAAAGCTATTGGTTGCTCTCCACAAACTGAAGATAAGGCCCTATTGCTGAAGACAACACCTATGTAACTCAATGAATATGGATAAGTTAAGCTGGTGCCTACCTAGAGCCTTCACCCCTACTGAACAGTGTTCATAGCACTGGAAGGTACTCTGCATACTACCAGTAGAAAGGTAAACACGAGTTGATCTACAATTGTGACCTGTCTATGAGATACACTGTTGCAATAGTAGCACAGAAGTTGTGGGACTAACCAACCACTATCTGATTGGATTTAAGGCCCACTCCATGAGATGGAACCCAACACTGCTCACTTGGCCAAGAACCTGAGACTAGACGAGCCATAGACCTAGAAGAAAACCAAACACTACTGCTCTGTCAAAAGGAACATAGCAATAAAATGACTCCCAGTGACTTTCTGTTATTCTTACACATCTGTATCTTGCTCAGCCATTGTCAGAGAAGGTTCCTTCTGCAGTAAGCGGGAACAACAGAGACCACAGATGGACAATGTGCAAAGAGTGAGAAACTCTGGAATACCCAGTCCTAAATAGGACGTTTCTATCAAAGCCCTCCCCTCAGGGTTGAGGTAACCCTGAGGAAGAACATGTAGAAAATATTGTAAGAGCCAGTCGGGATAAAAGGCACACACACAAAAGGCCTTCTAGACATATCAGGACTAATGCACACATCAACTTAGAGATACTGTGACATCATGTCTAGGCCCCAAAGATCTAAGCCAGATGGGGTACCAGCACTAAAAAGAGCAGTGTACATGAGTCCCCATCCTGAACCCAGAAGCTATCAACTTCCATTTGATAACTTCTTGCAAGGAACAAAATAGTTTTCTCCAAAGGGAGTCTCACTGGGTATATAAACTATAGTAAAGGGTAGACCAAATGTCTTGCAGTTAATGGTCAACATAAAACAAACTCAATGGTATTTTGTTTTCTTAGGTGTTTTTCTTGTTTGTTTGTTTGTTTGTTTTATAATGCTTTGTGTGGGCATTTTTCTGCCTTACAGGTATCTGCTTGTATATTATGGTTTCCGATTTTGTGTTTTCAAGGGATTTCTGTTTATATGAATGTGAATCTTGACATTTCTGTATTTCTTGTGCTTATTCTTTGGTTTTCCCCCACCCCATTTGTTTGTTTTGTCTTATTCTGGGTTGTTTTTATTTTATTTTGGATACCTGTTTGTTTTCTACTAAGAGAGAGAAAGAAAGGCATGGATTAGGGAGATGAAGAGGAGTTGGGAGAAGGGAACCATGATCAGAATCTTATATATATATACTATTTTCAGTAAAAAAATCTAAATGTGGGAATTTTGCTGATTATTAGGTCAAGAAGAGGCTCAGATGACAATAGAATTTCCTTCTTTTCCTTTCTGAAAGATTTTTGAGAGTTTTATTTTATGACTCTTGAATCCCATAAAATAGAAGTCTGCAATATTTTCTTATTTGGTTATGAGCCTACCCTTTAACAGTTGAGCCATCTAGTCTCTAGCACAAGATTTTTTTTTTTTTTTTTTTTTAAAGAATCAGGCTCGGGGTTGGGAAAAAAAAAAAAAGAATCAGGCTCAGAATTTTCTTAGACTCATTAATGATGTAAGTCATTTAAACCATTTCAGTTAGAAGGTCTACCACTTCCCTGGAAGGAATCACTCTTCAATTTGATGTAGGCTCCATTCCACTGAACTTCCAAATTATTCCCCAGGCTTGTACATCTATTATCTAGATCACTGACTTCTCTTTTAACAGCTAGTCTCAAATTGCTTTAGTTCCTTACCATTTCTTCTAACTTATTAGAAAAAAAAAAAAAAAAGCTAACCCCAAACAGAAGGATGTAAATTAGTTTTCTTCATGTATGATGAATTAAATCCCAACTGCAAAGAGAGAGTGAAGAAACAAAGTATATTCTGGGTGAAAGGATTAGAGCTACAACCAGGAAAAGAGTTCAGAAATCCACATGCTGGCTTTGTAATTGGGAACACAATGATTTCAGTTGTGGCCCCAACTCCAGAGGCATCCTGTACAGCCTATGCTTCTGAAACAGCTGTGTAATAAATACACATGTAGGGTGGTTCTGTGAAGAGACTAGGGAGGGGTTCTCTGCCAAAGGTACCAGAGCACTGCATAGAAACAGAGCTTGGCATCAGAGGGTCAATTTTCAGTGCCATGTAAACACAGATTAGGGAGTGAAAGATGCCAGCAACAGATTAGAGTATAGTCACCAGGTTCTCTTTGCGAGGACTGCTGGCCAACTGAGCCCGTCTCTTGGAAACATCAGGAAGAAAAAGTACTGTTCTGTTTAAAAAAAAAAAAAAAAAATCCAAAAACCCACCCACCATTTAGCAGCTCTGGCTGAAGGTGCAGGAAATGTGCCAGGGCTAGTTAGCTAATGGACTGAGCCCTAGAATATTTACGGAGATGGCATTCAGCCTTAGAAGCCAAATCCTAAAGACAGCTAAGGGGTTTCTAAAGCTTAAAGGTTTTCACATGCAGTAAACTAGACTCAGTATTCCCTTTCTAAAATATTATTAGTCATTCATTCATTCATTCATTCATTCATTCATTCATTCATTCATTCATTCATTCACTTTTGGAGACATTGTCTCACTATGTAGCTCTGGCTGTCCTGGAACTTACTATATAAACTAGGCTGGCCTCCAACTCACAGAAATCTGCCTACCTCTGCCTCCTAAGTGCTAGGATTAAAGGTGTGTACCTCCATTCCTGGCTTTGTTTTTTACTTTTTAAAAAAAAAAAAAATTAGTTTATTTTTGCCAGGAGTGATGCCGCATGCTTTTAATCCTAGGACTTGGGAGGCTGAGGCAGGCAGATCTCTGTGAGTTGGTCTAAATAGCAAATTCTAGGACAGCCAAAATTACATAGAAAGGCCCTGTCTCAAAATACACACACACATCCATGTACCAGGGTATCGAAGCAGATGCTAAGACTCATAACCAAACTTTGGTCAGAGTGCAGGAAATCTTATGGAAGAAAGGGGAGATAAAAAGACCTGGAGGGGACAGGAGCTCCACAAAGAGACCAACAGAACCAAAACATCTGTGCCCAGAGGGACCTGGAGAGACTGATGCTCCAACCAAGGACCATGCACACAGAGGACCTAAAACCCCTGCTCAGATGTAGCCCATAAGCAGCACAGTCTCCATGTGGGTTTCTTAGTAAGAGGAACAGGGGCTGTTTCAAACATGGACTCAGT